TGCAATGGGTGACCAAAAGACCCTATTTTTAAAAGCAGACCATACCGATTTATTCAATACAAGGCATGGCAGGGATGGGCAGCTATCACCTTCTGCTTTACCCATGCCATCCATGGGTGGCACAGTCCAGGATGTGCCTACTTATGAAGCAAATATCACAACATTATTGACCATTCAGTGATGTTCTGAAACACCCCATCTTGAAGGTGAGCATGCAGAGCCATGGAAAGAGCATTTGAATCAACATAACATACAGTGTGGATTTGTTTTTGTAGGTAAAGAATACCTGGCCAGGAACCTTTCGCCACAGAGCGGCATCGAAGAAACCAAATTCGAAGCAAGGGCCCTTGAAAGAAAAAGCATTAATAAAGACTTATCTAGTGTCATAGCTGCACTGAAGTCTGAAGTATAGCTATAGGTGGTAGGCGATACCCCGAGGAAACAGAAACCACGATATGATATAAGTAATGGGAGATGAACATCTGAGGGTTGGTCCACATGCACTACTACAGAATATCCTCCAAAGGCCGATGAAGACAAGCAGCAAGGGAAAAGGTGAGATGTCAGACTTGGTGGGAGGTAACATGAAATAAAGCACATTAGGAAGGGGCAAGGAGGAATAAGTCAACTGAATTAAATGACAAACCTTATTAGTAAGGGTAAAAGGAGAAAGACCCTGAGAGGAAGAGGGTTGCCACGCGATAAAGAGACAGGAACGGGAACCTCTGAAGGAAGCCGTGCAGGTAACATAACAAGGAAGGGCATGCAACGAGCATAAAAGTCTATCCGGATCAGAACGAGAGTATAGATGAGAAATAGAGGGACGGGAAATGGGCAGAAGTTAACCTCAGGAGCTGCCAAGGTCTTGGGAAGGTAGGAATGATCTGGATAAAGGAGAAGATAGGTGTGGTGGTACAGTGTGTGAATGATGTCAATAGTGAACAGATCTGACTGACAATGCTCGCAGGCTAAGAGGAGATAGAAAACACCTTAAGGGATAGGTGAAACAAAGAGCATGAGTCAATAGGCTCAAATGGAGGTAAAGTAAATGAATGGAGTACCACCGACAGATCTGGAAAAAATGGATTAAAATGGCAAGGTCAGGGGAAAGAAAGACCCTGTGGTAATGTGGAAAATGGAAAGTATGGGAGAGGGCTGCCCGAAAACCCAATATCGAGGAGACCAAAAACCCCTTTTCAAAAAAACCATGTAAGAAACTCAGAGATACCCTGAGTCAGGGCCCAGGTGCAAAAAACATTCCATTTCCACTGATACACAGCCACAGATGAAGGATGAACAGAATGAGCTAAATGAGATGCCACACGATGTGAGAAACAGGTTCTCCTCACCAGGGACTGGATAAGAGCCAGGCATGAAGTGCAGAATGCAGGACTGGCAAGTGGGTTGACAAAGAAGTTCGGGAATAAAGGAAGAGGGACAGAAGGGAACAACTTTAGATGGAGTAATCGAGGAAACCACGGTTGAGTGGGCCAATAAGGAGCAATCAGAATGACTTTGCACAGAGTGGTATGGATGAGGGAGACTACCCAATGAAGTAATCAGATACAAGGGTAAACATAATGGAACTTATTTGACCAATCGTGGCTGAAGGCATCTATAGCCAAAGCCCTAGGATGGGGAACCTGGGACCAAAACAAATGTGATTGAGGACAGTAGCAAATGATTGATATGAGGAATACCCCACCAATTGCAAAGCCACTGAAGAACAAGGTGAAGGGACTACACCGTATGGTAAATCTGGTCAGGTTGGGAAAGATGATCTGCCACAAGGTTGAAAGCACTTGGTATGTGACACACCATCAAATGAAAGTAATGATCATGGGCCCAAAAGAGAAGATCCAATGTTAGAAAACACAGGGATCTCAACCGGATGCCACCTTGGTGATTGATATGAGCCACCACTGTTGAATTGTCAGAATATCTCATGACCAGATGATCTCTAGAGATGGGAAAAAATTGATCCAAAGCCCAACAAGTAGCAAAGAGTTCGAGGACACTGATATGAAGAGAATGACAGACCAATGACCCAAAGCCTCCTGGTGAGTGACCAATGCACCCCAGCTCTGAAGGGATGCATCCATGAGAAGATGTAAATCTGGCCACGGAGGATGTGGTGGGACACTTGCCAATGTATGAGCCTTGTCCAACCACCATCAGAGATCATCCACAATGTACGAAGGGTTAAAGGAGTATCCAAGTGATCCAGAACAAGTTTTCATTGGTCATGAAGGGATCACATATGAGCCTGGCCGTGGAGTATGAGAGGAGTCATAGAAGACCACATCCTCAAAGTGATAGAACCTCACAAGCAGAAAGTGCAGAAGCAGACACATCATTCCAAGTGCCCAGTTCCATAGAACAGAGCCAGAAAGAAGAAGGTTGGACCCAACTGAGATGGGTGTTGAAGAAAACATTCAGATGAACAAGGCACTGAGTAAGATGAAGGAAGGACTTCAGTTTGCTCAACCAGCCCACCTGAGCAGATTCGAGAAGGAGCTGATAAGTATGACTGGCTAACTCCCATTTAAAATGAGGGAGAAGAAGCCAATTGTCCATGTAAAAGTGAAAGTGCAACCCCAAGGCATGAAGATGTATAGTGAAGGTTTGCACCACCTAACAGAAAATACAGGGTGCAGAAGCCAGCCCAAAGGGTAGGGCACAAAATTGGTATACCACCCCATGATGGACAAACCAAAGATAAGGACGAGAATGCAGTGATATGGGAATACGCAAATAAGCATTGTAGATGTTCATCTTGGTCATCTAAAAACCCAGAGAAAAAGTCCACCAAGGAGTAAGGTAGGATTCATGGTGAAGCATGGGGTGTGAACATATCGATTGAGATAGGAAAGGTCATTGACCAACCTCCAGTCCCCAGTCTTTTTGGGAACTAAAAATGGGAATAAAACCCCACGAACTGCGTGAAGCAGGTTCGATAGACTGCTGTGTGAGGAGGTCTTGCACTGCCTCGGATAGATGCTGGCATGACATGGGATCCCAGGGAGGAGGAGGAAAGGAAACAGGTACACAGGACAAGGAAAGAAGGGTAAAAACAGATATGAGAAATCCTTCTGACAAAACTTGGTGAACCCAAACATTACAGATGAAAGGTCTCCACTAATGAATGAAGGTTGTTAAACGAGCTTCCACCGGACCCGACCACACAATGGAGGAAGGATAACAACAGGTATGACAATTCCTCTGACACAACCTGGTGAACCCAAACATTAGAGATGAAAGGTCTCCACCAATGAACGAACACACCAGGTAGTCACCAGAACTGTTGTTGGCGTACCATGCATCATCCTGAAAAATGATAAACAGTGGCACCGTGGGAAGGAAGGAACAGGGAAGGGCTGGGAAGGGGAGGGAGAAAGGAATCAGTATCACGCTTGGCTCTGACTGGGAGAAATGGGCCACCAGATGAGAAGGGGTGAATTGTTGATGGACTGAAGCCATCCTCGATTCCAAAGACTCCAGGATCATGTCAAACACAAAATGTCTCAAAAACGGGGCCATACAAAGGTCCCATAGATAAGAAGCCAGGTTCATGACAATATGGCATCACAATTCGAAAGGTCCCAACAATAAATAAACCACGTTAGCAGGGCCAGAGCCAAAGATGATAGGCGGGCCAACATAGAAGTAAAAAAGGGAAAAGATCTCCCCAGAAAACCCCTCGGGGTTCCTGTGAAGATCCTCAGACAGGAGATGGACCAAGGAGAGGTACCACAAAAGAGTAGTCATGGTAAGATGAAGGCAGGAATACTGGGCATGGGTAATATGAACGGGAAATTTCGGTTCTACCTCCCAAACAGGCAAAACTGAACCCAACAATGGTTGGGCCAGATATGGACAGTCTGCACTATGATAAGAAACCTTCAAGGGATGAAGCATACTAATGCTGTCATCTGAGAGGTGAAACACTCAGTGTGAACCCGAATATCTGAGGACAGGGAAAAACTAAATAAGATTAGGAGGCAGAATCAAAAATAGGAGCAATAGACAAAACATCACATATCTGAGAAAGCCGACAAGGGTTGAACAGAATCATAAGGTAGGATTTGAGAAGGCACGGCAAAATCGTGGGGGGGGTGGGAATTGATCAAATCCTTGTCAGCCTGGCCAGGCTCAGAAGGAAGAGGGAGAACAGCAGCAGACAAAGGTTGTCCCATATAATGCTCAACCTCATAATAATAAAGGTCAATAAATCCCCCCGATGGAAGTATGGCATCAGAAAAATGAGATGTACCTGAAGTGGTAATGTTAGCTTCGGAATTCATGACTTGTATGAAACAAAGAAGAAAAAATGTGCAGCAAAACATGGGTAAGTCAAGCGCTTTCGAAAAGAAAGAGGTAAAAAAATTATTGAAAAAGTAAATTAAATTAAATTAAGTTAAACCACTTCGAGAAGTAATGAGCAAAAAGTAAGACACCTGAACTCAAGCACTGCCAAATGAGAAGTGATGGTTCGGTAGTGGCATATAGAGAGCATCAGATGCATCATGTAACAGTATTGCTCTCCTATTGGTGGAGAGATTACGCATGATGATTTGCATGACAGACATGTTGGAATCAAAGATTCCAACAGAGAGGGGGAGTGTAGAAAGCTTGTGGCATGCGTTATAAAAAAGTTTGCATATAGAGGGTAGCACAAAACAGAAAAAGCTAATCTTGTGAGCGGAGGGTAGTACCATATCGGAAATTAATTTTTACACACACTTGACAGATCTAGATATCAGCACACTGAGGATTTATCTTATGCTACAGGAAAGCTTCAATTGAATAACAATATTTAATACTTCTTTCTTTATAATAAAACATACTTTTGGTATTCCTCAACTGTTTCAATATTGTGAGCAAAAACATCTAACCCAGACAGGACAACTGTTTTAATAGCTTCTATATCTCCTTGAAAGTCCGGTGTTAGACATTCCACTAATAAAGAGGCCTTCCTATAAAAAAAAAAAAATTAATTTGACCATAGTTCTTAACAAGAATGTAAATTAAAATTTATATTTCAGGAAAGAAAATACCCTGATGGCACAGTATACTAAGAACTGATATGTGTATGTCTGTTAATGGCATTCAATTTAAATAATACATAAATTAAGAATAAATTGTGTATTTTTCCCTATGGGTCCAGACTTCTGGGACACCCTGTATATTGTAAACAATGTTATATGTATGAAAAATAAGACACAAAATAGCAACCAATCCTTAAAAAAAGTTTTTAGATTATTAACTTGCTCAGTATTAAATCTTTAAGCTTGTTTTTCATTACAGAATTGGATGAGCTGTTACAGAGACAATAAGATAATATATCATTTTTGGGGTTTAAGTCATTAATCTTTTCATATTAATTATAAACACATATATACACACACACACACACAAAACATTTAATTGGAGAACAAAATTTTGTAAGACATGTCACAAAATTGATCTATTAAACCTTTTGTCTACTGTTATGTATTATGAAATAGACTTGCAGAAAAACAAAAGACTTTATCTTCACAATTATTGTACTTGATCTAGCATGATGTATAAAATCACCATTACAAAGGGGGAAAAAATGCCAGAAATGTTGTTTTCAGCAGAAATCCAACAGAATTGGTTTTGTTTACACATGTTCAACTCATAATAAAAATTCTGTCAGGATCTACAAAAGTTAAGTGAACTCTTTCATAATCCTTTAAGAATAATTTTTTAAACAACAATTAAGATCATTAGTACATGAGATTGCTCAATATAAGATATAGGTAAGTCCACTGATTTCGACAGTTTTTTATATTTAACTTTCCAGTCTCTGAAGTACTTGTTTACACCATATCATCAGTGTTGTTTTAATCTTACTGATATTATTAAATATTTCCTTTGATGACAGTTAAATACTTGAAAGTAAAGCTTAAGCTTTAAAAAAATTCATAAGATGATATAAGGTAGTAAAATAATGCATGTTAAGTTGGAATAGTAACAGTTTGCTAGTTTACAAAGAACAAAGAGAAATATCTGACAGGTAAAGATGAAAGAAATACAGTTTGAATATATGCTTGAAGTTGAAAAATATATATATAATTTTTTACAAGAAATCTTTAGAAACAACATAAAACTGTTAAAATACAAATGAAACTCTTACAAACATGTCTGTCAATAAGCACAAGAAAAGGAGGGAACACTAACTCTTTAAGCTTCAGCTTTCTAAAAACATGTTACAGCCTGTGATGATAAATAGTATACATATCATAGTACACTGATGATGCAAACCTTAAGGTTACAAGCTCATCTAATTGAGATGCTCTGAAGATACTTGTTGAGTCTAATCCAAGGCAACATACTTGTGAAATGGCCCTGAAATTGCATGTCTCTCATGAAACAATATGCAAACATCTAAGAAAAACTTCATAAAGAAGGTGTTTGAGTGCCTCACGAACTCTCCAATGATCATTGTTTACAAGGTGTGAACATTGCTTCATCTCTTCTGGCACGTAATATGCGTGAACCATTTCTGGGCAGAATTGTCACTGGTGATAAAAAAATGGATTTTCTATGCGAATATTAAACACCAAAAACAATGGCTCAGTCCTAGACAAAAACCACTTCCGACTCCAAAACCCAGACTCCATCCACAGAAAGTGATGCTTTCCATTTAGTGGGACATCAAAGAAGTAATTAATTTCAAACTCCTCAATCCACAGCAAACTGTCAGTGCAGAGATCTACAGTCAACAACTGGAACGTTTAAATCAAGCCCTTCATCAGAAACACCCTTCACTTGTCAATCAGAAAGGTGTTCTTCTCCACGACAATGCACGTCCATATGTGGCACGTTTGATGAAACACAAGATTATGGAGTTGGGTTGGGAAGTTCTCCCCCACCCACCATATTCTCCAGATATGGCACTATCAGATTACCATTGTTTCCATTTGCTACAACATCATTTTTATGGGAAAATGTATGCAAATGTGGAAAGTGTTAAAGAAGACGTTGACATGTTTTTTGCTTCAAAGCCAAGTGATTTCTTTAATCAGGGCATTAACAACCTGATTGTAAGATGGAAAAGTATCATCAATAAGAATGGAGACTATTTCATTTAATAAATGTTTTGTTTTGATATATAAGTTGTTTGGGTTTTTTTCATCTAATAAAAAGCAACATTCATTTCTTGACAACCTAATACATTTATCTTGAGATTAGCACTTTTCTATTCAGAATTAGTAAAGGGATAAATAGAATAATTAACAACACAGAAAAGAAAAAGCAATGCTCTTACAACAACATCTTAAGCTACACTCAAAACAGAGAATCAGCTGAAATTTCAGTTCAATTGTTTCTGTTTATTGATGAAGAAAAATGTGCCTAATGAGAGGGAGAGCAAACACCATATTAATTTTTGGGCTACCCTGTATTTCTGAATCAGTAAACTATATATTTCAAAGGTTATTTCATGAGTGTAAATTCTATTTTTTTATGCCTGTCAAAGTAAAAACCACAAGTCTCTTATTTTCATCAGTACCACAAAAATGGTTTCATATACTAATTATATATATTGTTGCGTCAGCGAGGTCACGTGATTAGTGTCACGCCACCTATTTTCTAGAACTATACTGTTCCTTCGGGAGTGCTCTAGCATTTGCTAGATTGGGGGGTGGTCTGGTATATACAAGATGGTCACGGATGGTAATGAGTAATTGAACTGCAGTCAGAGAGAGATGTATTGTTGAAGTCAAGCTCGTGAGACGTGAATTATAGTTTGTTATAGCGTGACTGTTGAAGTTGAGTGTTTCGTAAAGTTGTGTTCGGAAAGAATAAACCAGTTTTATTTAAGAGAGGACTTGTGTCGCTAAAGCTTCGTTGGAACGAATTTATGGAAAATCAATTAACAAACGGAGACGTAACAAATTGGTGTCAAGAGTGGGATAAAAAAAATGGAAAAGAGAAGCGGCAAATCAAACTACAGCATAGCAGACTTGATGGCAGCAATACAAGAACAGCAAAAGAAACAAGAAGAACGAGAAAAGAAACAAGAACAACGAGAAGAGAAATTACAACAGTTGTTAGAGGAAAAAGAAAAGAAACAAAAAGAACGAGAAATTAAACAAGAAGAGAGATTACAGCAGTTGTTGGAGGAAAAAAGAAGAGAAACAAGAAGAGAGACAACAGCAGTTGCAAGAAAACCTGCAACAGTGGCAGCTCGAACAACAAAATAAATAAGAAGAGAGATTACAGCAGTTGTTAGAGGAAAAAGAAAAGAAACAAGAAGAACGAGAAAAGAAACAAGAAGAAAGATTACAGCAGTGGCAAGAAAACCTACAACAATGGCAGCTCGAACAACAAAATAAACAAGAGAGATTACAGCAGTTGTTAGAGGAGAAAGAAAATAAACAAGAAGAACGAGAAAAGAAACAAGAAGAGAGACTACAGCAGTGGCAACTGGAACAAGAAATGAAATAAGAAGTAGAAATGGAAAACATTAGTAAATTTAAAAGCGAATTAGATACGTTAAAGGACGATCTATTGTCTTTTCCACAAGGAGGATACATTGACCATCGACTTAATCAGCCCCAGACAATAGCAAGCCCCTTACAGAGCCCGCAGCTAAA